ACAGCCTGTGACCAGTTTACCAACTACACCCTCGGATGCTATCTTCTGTTGATGACATCACTCACATGGTTTCTTTCTGCAGATTTGATCACAGAAGACGATTCCACCATCTTGTCCAATCGGAGCGAATTCTTCTCTCCAGGTTTCTTTAACACTTACCTTCTGTTCGTCGCTACTGAGGACAATCTACATTTTCTTCTTTTCTCAAATGAATTCAAACAGATGCTGAAGTCTTTATTTCAGTAAAAGTCTGATAGCGCCCCCTGCAGGAATATGATGCTGGTGTAACAAATAAACTGGTCACTGTGCTGAGATTTAACATGAAACATTTAAACAGAGACACATGTTGCATACATTGACGTCGCTACACACATGTTCACTCACACACACACACACACACACACACACACACAGACACAGACACAGACACACACACACAGACACACACACACAGACACACACAGACACAGACACACACACACTGTGTAATTCTGACAGAACACACAGGATCTTATTGTCCAGTGAACAGGCAGAACAGCAAACACAAGTACAGAACTCAGGAAGTTGTCCGGATTGTCTCATTCCTGATTTGTCTCAAAAGTCCAGTAAAATTGAATTCCACCGGTTGAACGTGTTAAATAAAGACTTCAGCTCGAGGCCCATGTGCCATGTGGCTTTATTTAGTTGCCAACGGACCTGAAGCCTTTATTTTTAAAACCATGTGACTCAAATCCCTGATACGAGGAAAACGTCTTACCTTTGACGTTGAGCATTGCGCTGGTAATGGCGTTCAGCGCCTGGTATGAAACTTCTCCAGCGTGATCCAGCTGACAGTTCTTCAGCGTAAGTCTACGAACTTTCCCTTCCATGTGGATTTCGCACGTCTGATTAAAACATTTAGTATAAAATGATCCGTAGTAAAAACATGTAAATGTAGAAACATACGAAATCAAATGGTTCATATCTTACCGGGGATCTGGTCAGAACTTCTCCTTTCAGTTTCCACTCCCCTGGAACGTCATCCTCAGAGATCTCCGTCTCAAACATGGCATCGTCCTTCTCCGTCACCTCCACACTCGCCAACGGCTTCAGGATCTCAGCCTCCCGCTCTGAGGAAGATGACACGTCAGTTCTCATAAGCATTTAACACCAAACGACAGTAAATAGTTTCAGTGGCTCGAGGTAAAGGAAGGTGATTGGTCAGACAGATGAACCTCCTAATGTGAGCTTGGCCGTGTAGACGCGTCCCTCAACCTCCATGGCGTATTCTGCCACGTCATCAGGCTGACAGTTCTTGATGGTGAGCATCAGCTCTTTTCCGTCCTTCTTGATCTCGACCTTGTCCGAGGGGCTGATCTCGTTCTCTCCTTTGAGCCACTTCCAGTTGGGAGTGTCCTTGAACAGCTCACATTTAAACGTGGCAGCCGCCTTCGGTTTGACGTGCTGGTCTCTCAGCGGCTTCACGATCCAATCTTTGATGATTTCTGAGGGAATTGAACATGACGTCAAAAAATCAACTTAGAGCAGAAACATTAATAAAAACAAACAGAACCAGGGCAGACCCAGAGTCTACGTCCATTTTTCCAAACATTCTCTGCTCATATTTCATCCAAAGAGATAAAATGATTGAATGAGTTTTCCTGAAGTACTCCAACTGCCAATCCTGCCCACATATCTTCTTAACTGTATTTAGTGACTTATACAATGAACTCTTTTTCTTACCGATCACTTTGACGTTTGTCGTGGTCTTGACGTCCTCCTGACCGGCGACTTCACACGAGTAAGAACCAGTGTCCTCCTCTGCGCTGTTCTGGATGGTCACGGCGTGCTGCATCCCGATGATATTGATCTGAATCTTGTTGTCCTTTTTCTTGAGGACCTGGTTATTCTTCTTCCACACCACATCTCTCTCTTTGTTCAGCTCGCAGGTCATGTAGATGGGCTGACCCTTCAGAGCTGAAGTCTCCTCCTCCAGCTCCTTGATCCATTTCACAGGTAACTCTGTCCGGAGACGAGAAGAACATTTGACTGGTGCTTGAACAGGATCATTACAGGAAATATTTCTGCTCCTCAGGGTTCATAGTGAGATTTTAAGGCAGAAAGAAGCGTTTACCTTCAACGATGAGCTTGGCTGTGCACGTTATTTCTTTGCCGGCGTTCTTGGCCACACAGCTGTATTCACCAGTGTCGGACAGCTGAACATCAATAATGTTCAACTTGCGATCTTTGCCGTCAGAGGTGAACTTGTGCTTGGGGCTCTCGCGCAGGTTGCTGCCGTCTTTCATCCAGGAAGTGATGGCAGTGGAAGGTGAGACCTCACACTCAAAGACAGCTGACGAGCCGATGGACTCTGCTTCCTGCAACACAATGTCCTGAAGCTTCTTGATGAACTTCAGAGGGACGGCTTTCAGCTTGAACCCTCCGAAGGGATCCTCTGGAGGGGATGGACCTTTTCCACCAGGCCTCAGGCCGCGGCCCCGCCCTTCTCCAGGAGACGGGGTCTGCTTGGCTTCAGATTGATAAATATCGAGTATTGAAATAAGTTTCTCTCACTGAGAAGTCACACACACAGTTTGTGGAATAATGAAAACATCAGACTTACGTTTCAGACCTCGGCCTCGACCTCTTCCTGCTTCCTCTGCTGGTTGGCCCTCTGTTCAGGAAGAAGGAATTTAAATTGGCTGTACACGATATAATCGTACGACAATGTATTGATTCACTTGCCACAGGAGGGAGATGTTATATCTGTTTGAATTGATGGGAAATGTGATGAAATGAAATCTGCATCATGATTAACAGGAGCTTCCACAACATGAAGGGATTGAACCAAACGGATGTAAAGATGGAGAACACGTGATGTGAAATGACAGACACACACGTGATGTGAAATGACAGACACACACATGACAGAAGTGAAATGAATACGACGACACATGAATAAAATGAACACAAATATAAGAAATGATGACGTCACTCGCTGAAGATGTGGTGAGGTAAAGAAGTTTTTAGATGGAGGCATGATGGTGGGGATGGGCAGAGATTATTCTGGGCATGATGGGGGGATTTTCTCGGTGAGGTGGGGCCACCACTATCTCACCTCTCCTGGTCACCCCAGGAACCTCTAGAGCACCTTCTTGTCTGTCACCTTCCCAGTCCTCAGAGTCGCAACTGTCCCGAGGAACCAGCTCCCAGCCCCAGGCCTCCTCCTCCTCCTGCTCGCCGTCTCCCTCTGCTTCGAACTCCTCTTCGAACACCTCCTCCTCCAGCTGCGTGGCAACCTTCTTCATCTGCACAGCTCCAGGAGACACCTCCTTCACCAGGGGAACCTTCCGTTTATCAGGTTGCGCTGGTTCTGCAGCCTTCTCCTCTTCTGGTGATGGTTTCTTCGGGACCTTTTTAAGAGTGACAGCTTCAATCGACTCTACAGGAGAAACCGTTTTTGGAACCTTCTTGAGTCTGTCGATGCTCGGCTTCCTCTCAACAGGGACGGCCTCTGCTTCTTTCAGCTTCTCAACTTTGGGAGACGGAGTCTTCTTCAGCCCGACCTTCTTGAGCTGCTCCAGAGGTTTAAGAGCAACTTCTTCCTTCTCTTCTTTCACCTTGGGTGTGACTCCCTTCTTCAACTGCAGAGGTTTGGGTTCTTCAGGAACCTTCTCAGGTTTCTTAACAGATGTTGGAACAGGAGATGTCGTCTTTTCCGCTGGAACTGAATCTAACTCTTTTGGCTTCTGCAGCTTCTTCTCTGGAGTTTCAGGGATCTCAGGTTTCTTCACTCTACCCACCGTGTCTCGTTCTTTTAGTTTCTCATCAGGAGTTTTGCGACGAGGTCGCAGGTCATCACTTGGCTTCTTCTCTTTCTCCTCTGCTGGTTTCTTCTCAGGCGCTGCCTCCTCTTTGGAAGGTCTGGAAAACGGTTTCAGCTTGACACTCTCTATCTCTTGTTCTTGTGTTGGGAGTTTCTTCACCTTGGTTGGTGCTTTGACTTCCTCTGGCTCCTTCTCTGGACTTTTCTTTTTATCTAAAGGCTTCGACACCTTGGCTGGTGGCTCCTTCACCTCTGGAGGAGTTTTCTCAGTTTTACTGGGAAGTTCTTTGGGTTCCACCTCTCTGGAGATCCTCTCTCCTTTCTGGAAAGGCTCAGTGTCTCTGTCTGGTCTGTCCTTCTTATCTTTCTCTGGCTCCTCTGCCACTTTGACAGGTTTCTCAAAGGGTTTTAGTTTGATTAGTTCTGGTTCCACTTCATCTGAAGGCAGTTTCTTCACTTTCTTCAAGACTGCAGTGGGTGGAGCAGGTTCCTCTTCCTTCGGCGTCTTGGGAGTTTTCTTTAGAGAAATCTTATCTTCTGGTTTCTGGTCTTTTGAGACAGGTCTCTGACGACTCCATGCATCTTTATGAGCCTCTGTTTGTTCTTCTTTAGGTTTAGTGACTTCTGGCTTTTTTACAACATCCGCTTTGTCTCGAGGTTTTCTCTCCTCCACGGGTCTCCTGGTGGAAACTGACATCTCCACAGTCTCTTCTTCATGAACCATCTCCTCCACCTCAAACACGGTGGTCCTGGTGACCTTCTGAGGTTTCTCCTCAACTTCAGAGTCTTTAGGAGCCGATGGCACCTTCTTCAGTTTGATCACTTCCTGTTCCTCCTCCACTCCCTTCACCACTCTGGTGGTTTTCTTTAGGGTTGGGATCTCAAACGTTGTTTCCTCTTCCAACTGAATTTTACCTTTTGTGAGCAGAACCGTTTCTGAGGCAGCAAAAGTTTCACGTTACTTGTTGACATTTATCGAACATCAGACTTTGCTCGCACACAGACATTCAAAATCATCAGTTCTTTTTTTAAAGTTAATTTAAAAGTGAGAAAAACAGACAAACAAGACAAAACAACTCTCACAGACAAAAGTTATTCTGTGTGCTTTGTATTTAAACCACAATATAATAAATAACAGTTTTTATGAGAAATATATTTTCTTTATTAGAGTTGGAACCTCCTGGTCGATCGTAATGAAACCTAACTTTTACTGAATGTTTTCAAATTGACACAATTTGTCAAAGATGTGTTTAGAGGGAACCTGAATAAGTTTATGAAAAATATGGAACAATTTAATCTAATTTCTGGAAATTGATCCGACTGAAATTCAAAGTGAAAAAGTCGACTGCTGATTCACACTCGAGTGTGAACAAGAATGTTTCAGATGTGAAGCTCCGTCACAAAAACAATAGTTAACCTATAAAACCAAACAGTCATGAGTTTCTCTGTCCTGAGTTTTCTTGAGTATTACTCATTAATAAGTGAGTATTAAAGAAGTATGTGTTCATCAGCGCTCGTACCTTTCTGTACTCCTCCTGGTGCCTGGACGGGTCCTTTGGTTTCATCTGACACAGAGAAACAGTTCAGGTCATTAGATCATGAAACATGAAGAAGTAAAACATGTTTCACACGTGTCGTCCCATGATTCAGTTCAAGATCATAAGAAAAGATGAAGCTGTGAGAAATGTAACATGTTGTTAAAACATATTAAAGAAAATAAGGACAAACACAACAAACAGTGACAACACGCGTGGTTTTACATTCAAATGTGAACATGATGAAATGAGATGAAACATTTCTTCTGCTCGTCTGTCTACCTGTCGGAGGAGATCTCTTCTCTACCACCGCAGGTTTTTCTGCTTTGGTCGGTTCTTCAGTTTTCACCACAGCCTGAGGTTTAATCGCTTCAGCGTTGAAAAGAAGAATGTGAAGAAGGATCAGAACACGTGATGTTTATAAAGTCGCAGTGATGGGTCAGTGTGTGACGATACCTGCTTTAGTTTCTTCTTGTGGAGAAATTCTCTTCTCCAACTTCTTTTTCTCAGCGACCTCCGGCTGTTTGACAGCAGGAAGCGGTTTGCTCTCTTTAAGTGTAAAGATAGATTCAGTTTAAAATGCTGCTCATCAGCACCTCGAGTTTCTTCTTTCTCTTTAACGACTCATGTTTCTTCAGGATAAAGATTCATATTTTAAAGAGTGACATTCTTCCACAAATGTCTTCACACACAAACACAGACGTACAAACACGTGAAGAAGAGAAGCTGGTACCTGGCGGGGGAGCAACTGGTTTTACCAGCGGTTCTTTGACTTGCAGCGGCGACGTCGTCTGCTTCCCGGGAACTTTTAATAAAATGATACGACAACAGTGAGAGAAGAATTGAGCCAAACAGAGATAAAGAGAAAGAGGAGGAGTTTCCACAGAAACCTCTGCTTGTCTGTGAACACACAATCACACAGTGACACAAACACAGAGTTAGAAGAAAAAGCAACATGGACGTGTCGTGTTTGAGGTGATCGGAGTGGGACTCAGTCCACAGTGAGATGATCGACAGGAAAACACAATGAGTGACATGATGCGAAATCGAATAAAACCTGAGCGTGAAAACAAGAAGGTGCTCGACAGGTGCTCAGAAAACACTTGGTGCTCGGTGACACAGAAGATTTCTGTCTTTATACCTCCTGAAGAGTCCTTTTCTTTCTTTTCTGGTTCCACAAACACAATCCTGGTTTCTACGACGGGGACGTTCTCCACTTTCTGAGGAGTTGTGTGTCGACCGTGTGGTGCGTCGACTTCCAACTCTCTCTTCCCGGTGGAACCTTCCTCGCGCCGTGTTTGGTCGTGAAACGTCTTATTCTCCTGCAGTTTGGTTCCGTCTGTTACTGAAGGTTCTCTGACTGCGGACTCGTCTTTGGATTTTTTGATAATCTTTGTCTCTTTTCTGAGAGAATCTAACTTCTCATCTTTGGTTTTGTTTTTCACAGTTTCTGTCTCAATAGTTTTTGGCTGACAGACATTCCCTCGTCTTTCTAAACCAGTTAAAGTTTGTTTTTCTACTGAAGGAACTTCGGCTGTTTCTGGATGTTTCTCTTCATCTAGTTTAGTCGACAGCTGTGATCTAACGCCCGGTTCTATCGTGAGACTCTGGGATTCTGCAGCTTTTGGTTCGAAGTGGTCCAGCTTTGTGTTTGATCCTTGAACTGGACGAACAGTTTCTGTTCTGTCCTGAACTGAGAACGTCTGAGACTGAACCTCACTTTTATCTCTGTGGATCTGATCTTCTCTCTGAGGAACAGGTTCTCCATCTCTGTGAAATCTCTGCGATGCTTCACTCAGTGTTTCTGTCCTTTGTTTTTTAACTAGATTATTTTTGTCCTCAGACATTTTAACCTTCAACTTATTTTCTTTGGTTTGATGAAACTTCTGTTCGTCATCGACTGAATGTTCCAGTTTCTCTAAATAAAAACGGTCTGACGGTCGTAGGACATCATCAGGTGAAATAAATGTTAGTGAAGCATCTGAGACATCTCGTTCTTTTCTAATCAATACTTTTTCACATGGGACACTCAAACACTTTGTCTTCTCTAGTTCCTGTGTGGTGGTTTCAGTGACTCGGAGAGTCTCAGTCTGACTCAGTGCAGCTGTGACGTCTTGTTTCTCTGCAGATGTTTGATCATATTTATCTTCATCGTCTCTCAGTGAATGTAAATCTGCCGTCGCTTCAGCTTTGTGAGAAACTTCTCTCACTTGGGTCAATAGTTGAGTTTGTTTCTGTTTCCTTGGTTGTGTTTCATCCACAAATGAAGTTTTATCAGTTGTTAATTGACTTGTGACATTTTTCAAATGAAAATCTTTATCTTTAATCTGTAGCTGATCAATTAAGATTTGTGAATCATCTCTGAATTCAAACATCTCCTGTTTTCTTGAATCAGAGAGTTTTTCCAGATCTTCAGGAGAAGTAAACCTCAGGAGAGTTTCTGATTTAACGTCTTTTACGATCAGAGCTCTTTCAGATGCGACTTCCATCACAGGAGCTGCTGAAGTTCTTCTTCTCACTTCTTCCTGTTTAGTTTCTGTTGTTAACGGAGAAACGTCCTCATATTCACGTCGTAATAAAACTGTCTGCGACTGAACTTCCTCCAGAGAAGTTTTCTTTTTTGATTTTTTTCCTTTTCCATCTTCAGTCATAATTTCTGTTTTCTCTAACTTCTCTTGTTCTGACTCGTCTGTTGTCTTCAGTTTTTTTGTTTCTTTCATTAAAGGAGAACCCGTTTTCTTTGTGTCGGTTGGTTTCTGTCTGGTTTTTCTCTCTTCAGCTGGAATCATTCTGTCACTTTCAGTAACTTTATCTCCGTCTTTTACAGATAAAAGTTTCATCACTGACGTTCTTCTCTTCACTTGTTTAGTTTCTTTTAATTCAAATGTCTCGGAATGAATTTCTTGAACTATTTGTTCATCATTCATCTTTTCTAAATCTTTTCTTTCTTCATCAGTTTTATCTTTTTTTGTTTCGACAGATTTCTGATCTGTCACGTGATCGTGTTTGTCTGGTTCTTCTCTCTCAGTTTCACCTCCTCTGTCTTTATTCTTTTCACTCAGACTCGTTTGGACATTTTTGTCTTTGACGAATGACTGAACTTCACTTTTCTCTGGAACCTTCGGTTCTCTCTTTATCTCTGATGCTTCTCCCTCTGAGGACTTTCTGGATTTTAGAGTTTTGGAGAAATTTAAACTTTCTACAGATGTAAAGTCTTGATCAACTTTAGGTGCACGAGATACTTTCCTTTTCATTTTCTGTTGCTCAGTTTTGGGTGTAATATTTACCTCATCTTTACCTAAAGTGGTTTTAGAGATGATTTGTTCAACTTTAGCTAAATTTGATTTTCTCTCCTCCAGAGGAAAACTCTCGGTGACACAAACATCAGCTGCTGTAAATTCAGCGTCTTTAGTTTCTTCACATTTTTCAGGAGCTAGTTTGGTTTCTGTAGAAGTTTGATCCGTCACTGGTTTAACTGGAACTTTTCTGGCACTTTGTTCTAGTTGAGATGTTTTGTCAGGACGTTCTCTGGTGAGTTCTTTAGTTT